AAGTCTAAACTTCCTGGTGGCCAGTTTATATCCATTTGTTCTTATGTCCACACTGGTACTGAACTTAAATAATTCATAGATTCATAGATAGATATTTAGGTCAGAAGGGACCATTATGATCATCTAGTCTGACCTCCTGCACAACGCAGGCCACAGAATTTCACCCACCGCTCCTGCAAAACACCTCACACCTATATCTGTGCTATTGAAGTCCTCAAATCATAGTTTAAAGACTTCAAGGAGCAGAGAATCCTCCAGCAAGTGACCCGTGCCCCATGCCCTCTGATATATTTATAGAGAGCAATCATATCTCCCCTCAACCTTCTTTTTGTTAGGCTAAACAAGCCAAGCTCCTTGAGTCTCCTTTCATAAGACAAGTTTTCCATTCCTTGGATCATCCTAGTAGCCCTTCTCTGTACCTGTTCCAGTTTGAATTCATCCTTCTTAAACATGGGAGACCAGAACTGCACGCAGTATTCCAGGTGAGGTCTCACCAGTGCCTTGTATAATGTGGTACTAAAACCTCTTTATCCCTACTGGAAATACCTCTCCTGATGCATCCCAAGACCGCATTAGCTTTTTTCAAGGCTATATCACATTGGCAGCTCATAGTCCTCCTATGATCAACCAATACTCCAAGGTCCTTCTCCTCCTCCGTTACTTCTAATTGATGTGTCCCCAGCTTATAACTAAAATTCTTGTTATTAATCCCTAAATGCATGACCTTACACTTCTCATTATTTATTAAATTTCATCCTATTACTATTACTCCAGTTTACAAGGTCATCCAGATCCTCCTGTATGATATCTCTGTCCTTCTCTAAATTGGCAATACCCCCCAGCTTTGTATCATCCGCAAACTTTATTAGCACACTCCCACTTTTTGTGCCGAGGTCAGTAATAAAAAGATTAAATAAGATTGGTCCCAAAACCGATCCTTGAGGAACTGCACTGGTAACCTCCCTCCAGCCTGACAGTTCACCCTTCAGTAGGACCCATTGTAGTCTCCCCTTTAACCAATTCCTTATCCACCTTTCAATTTTCATATTGATCCCCCATCTTTTCCAATTTAACTAATAATTCCCCATGTGGCACATTATCAAACGCCTTACTGAAATCTAGGTAAATTAGATCCACTGTGTTTCCTTTGTCTAAAAAATCTGTTACTTTCTCAAAGAAGGAGATCATGTTGGTTTGGCACGATCTACCTTTTGTAAAACCATGTTGTACTTTGTCCCATTTACCGTTGACTTCAATGTCCTTAACTACTTTCTCCTTCAACATTTTTTCCAAGACCTTGCATACTACAGATGTCAAACTAACAGGCCTTAATAAACTATTTCAGCTTTCCAATGGATACAGAATCAGACAAGGATGTTTTTATAGACTTTACATTTTAAAGCCTGCAAACATTTCGACCTGGAAACCAATTGTTATTTTAAATATTTTCTTAACCAGTAAAAGAATCGTGACTTTAACAAGCAAGGTAGATTTATGTTCCATCCCTCACCCGCCCCCAAACTCTCTTCAAAATAAAGTGAGAAAACCAAGAATAGAAAAATGTTAGAGAGAGAAAATTATTTGGGGGCCTAAAATATAATTTGCAGGGCACTGGAAAAGCTAAAACATTGCATTTCCCGTGAGCCACCATTTTCTTTTGTATTCTGTGCCAATATATGTTGGTTTCATTTGGCAGAGACATAGCATTCCTTCTTCTCACAGTAAGTTCCTTGTCTACCTTGGGAATCAATAAGAAATTAAAATTTCTACCAACAGCATCATAGAAGAAGCCATTGCTTTTGTGTTTAAATCTGCCAGGATGTTTACAATTTCATATAAAACTAGAGGCAGAAAAGAAACCCTCCTCTGAAAACAAATGGAAGAATGTATTAAAAGAAAAGACACTCTTTTCTACAGCACAAGAACAGATGTAAGATATCATTTTCTTTGCAATGGAACAGATGGAATTATTTGTCCTTCATAGTCAGGATAGCACCCTGGGTTTATTGTTGTTTTTTCGCTTGAAAAAGTTTAAAAGGGAGAGACTGTTCTCTGAGATTCCCATCCTTAGTAAACAAGATCTTTCTACCAAATTAACCAAAGATTTGTTTAAGAGCCTGATTTTCCGAGTTATTCAGCACCCCTGCAGCTCCAAACCAGCTCAGCAGTCTGCACTAGATTTTTCAAAAGCATTCAGCACATTGGAGGCACGTTGGGTGCTCAGCTCTTTTGGGAACTCGGACACAATTCTGGGTGCTCAGCGATTGGAACTCGAGCCTTGAGCCCATTTGTAAATCAGGTCCCACTTGTCTAAAGTCCTGGCCCATAGCATTTAGATGTCACAGTATGAAAGGAGATTTGACCAGATCTCTCTCTGATTCAGGCAGACATGAGTGTTATCATTTACCTTTTTGCAAATAAATAAATAAATTAAATTAGGAAACTAAAATGGAATACATATAAACCAGTCTGCACATTCCTCACCTATTTCTCTGAAATACCGGACCAGAGCCTGAGCTGCACCAAAACTCTGCTCAGCACAGCTGAGCAGGTGTATGTAGGGGAAGGAAAGAGTCATCTATTTGCTCTCCCAATCCCTGGCCCTTCCGCCCTACCCCAGTATACTTTAGAGCAGCGTCAGGGCTGCTCTAAATTATAATTACCCGCATTGGCTCTCAAGAGGCCTTTCTGCAGCTGGGAACCACGGGAGTGTAGGAGCACTCCTGCAATGTCCCTTTCCCCTTGGTATGCCCCCAACATCCCCACTATGCTGTGACCTGAAGGATGGCGGCGTCCACCTTGGATTCCCCTAACCCTGGGAATTCCCATCTACTTAAGATGATTTGGGGCTATTTTACACCACTGGAGCAACACAAAGCAGCTTGTCTGGGGCCAAGATTTGGCCCAGTAGTTTCACAGAGTTGATTTTGCACTCAGATTATATTTGAATCTTCTGCTTGGAAGGTTTGTAACACTGAATTGGAGTCTGCTCATGCTATTTCTCTGGAGATAAATTTTTTCTCCAACAATGGAATCTGTAGAACTGGCTTCATTAGACAGAGGTAGCTGCACTTCGTGGTATCAAGTGGTAGGATTATCATTTTGATAGTGCTCACTAGATTGTCCCCTATGCTAGAGAAAGCTGCACAGGGGATAGGAAACTCTGATAGAACTCACTAGTGGAGTTTCTTCTGTATGGTTCCACTAGCCCTCCCTCACACCTGCCCTGGTAACTCAACGTATGTTGCTGCCATGGACTGAATGTTGGTAGCTCACCTCAAGTATGGGGGTTCTTAAAGGAAGTTGGGCAACCCATGTATGGCCATACTTTGTTATCCCCATGAGTTTCCAAGGGATGATAGATACCATGGAGAGCAGCTTTGCTTCTCCCATTTCCTTTTGGGCTCACAATTATGTAGACAGAAGGCTCTTGCGTAGGTGTTATCTGACCAAATTTGCCTCTCCCAGAGCAGAGGGGAGCAATGTGGCCTTTACTCTGGGTCCTTTCAGGATGTGCAGCACTGTAGCAAGCTAAGGAATTATTAAAAGGAACAATAACAATACAATGCATGCCTTTTTCCTTGGTGATTGTAGCTAGCTAACCACCAGCCTGCTTTGGTGTGTCTTCTGTGTATCTGACTAATACAATCATTAACAAAAAGAAAAGGAGGACTTGTGGCACCTTAGAGACTAACCAATTTATTTGAGCATAAGCTTTCGTGAGCTACAGAAGTTTTGGTTAGTCTCTAAGGTGCCACAAGTCCTCCTTTTCTTTTGCGAAGACAGACTAACATGGCTGTTACTCTGAAACAATCATTAACGGAAGTCATTTCAAGAACAGAACAATAAAAAGCCTCTAGGAGCCAACAGAGGCTGCCCCTTTATAATGTATCTTAATCCCGCTTCTCATCAGCCCCCCTCCTTCCTCCAGAGACCGATCCGAGTGGTGCTACAACGCACTGACGTTTTCTGTGTCAGTCCCCTGCGCCGGAGACTCACTGTGAACATGGATTCCCTGTGGTCTCCCAAAAGGCTTGTCTTCACGGCGCAGCAATGTGCACCAGAAGTGTGGGATCTAAAGCTCACTAACTGGCCTGTGTAGCCCCTGCCGGGCTGCATTACAAGTTTCCAAGGGTGTGTTAACGCAGTGCTATTTCAAACAGTAGTGCGCATTGCCAGGTTGTGTAGACAAGCCATTTCTTAATTGAATAGATTGGATCCAGTCTGACACAGTTTAGCTTCTTGAGTGCACTGCCGTGCTTTACCGTGGAAGGTTCCTCCCAACCCCCCAGTGTGAAACTCCTTCACATTTATATCCGTTGTTTGTGGTTGTTTTCTAGTTTTTCTGTCTCTAATGGTGATGGCTGTACAGTGGAATGATTGTTGGCAATGACTACACTTGGCTTCTGAACACCACCTTCCATCAAAGTCTAACTCTTTTCCTCTTTGAATTCTGTTTAGTTTCCTTCTTAGCATTTTTTTTGCTACAACAGAATGTTGGCTTTTGTCTGTGTATGTATGAAACAGAAACAATGACAAAAAGTCGACTTCTCTCTGTCCCTTCCTGCTATAGCAACGAAAACCTGGCTTATCTTTAAAAGTTCTTTTGCAAGACTATATATGACAGGCGTTCCACTCGTTATTGATCAGATCCTCTATTAAACTATTGATTGTATTTGCTGCTTCAAGACACCATTTGGAACCAAATTTAACAAACTTTCAATGCTTTCCATAGGAAAGTTACGTCATAATTACCCCAGTGTCTTCAACATATTGAGCACATGCTTTCTCCATGCCAACAGCAACATCAGCTTTACCTCTCTGTCAAGTCAATGGAATTTGTGCTCCTAAGTCACTAAGATGCTTTTGAAAATCCCACTCCATGTCCATATTGGAAGGATGAAGGGATATATAGACTGGGTTGAGATTTAGAGTGGGATTTTCAAAGCTGCCTAGTGACCAAAACCCATAAAGCATCTTTGGAAATCCCATCCACTTACCTTTTGGCCAATAGAACCACCACTTGTTCTCCCACCTGGATTTTCTGGATTTCAGAGGCTCACGGGCTGGCACCGTTCTGTAATTTATCCACATTAGAACTTGGATTGCACAGGTTGGAGGAAGACGAGATTTTTTTTTTAAATCACTCTCTGGGAATTTTACAGAAATAATAAAAATTAACTTAAAACAAAAGGGTAGGAAAAATAATGCATTTTCATAATGAGTGAAGTGACCCTGATACAACCCTTACAGGGATGTACTGTGAACTGTGGGACCAGACTGTGAACCCTTTAATCACAGTGGTGAGCATTTACTAATCCAAGAGACTCACTGAAATGAATGTGTTACTCCTGGGAGTAAGTGCTCTTGAATAGGACTAAAATGTTGCACAATGTAGCCCATTAAATTCTGAGTTTCTAATAATTAACCTGCCTAAGGATGTCTAAATAAACACATACTCTGCGTAAACACTACAGGCCAGATTGTCAAAAAGAACTCAGCTCCACTCCATTAGTCACCCAATGGGAGACAACAAGAGCTGCTGGGAGCAGATCCCTTTGGAAAATCTGGCTCTACAAGTGTGAGGGTTTTCTTTGGTGACTGCTGTTGAGTGGAACTGGAACTCAGGCAAATTCAAGGTGACTGTGAGGTGACAAGTGGGAGGATGTAGGCTCTTAAGTGAAAGAATACCATGAATGAGCTGAGACGTATGCTATAAATAAGGCTAGTTTACGGCTGTTCAGACTGTGCTGTGAAAGACCAAATTCTCCATTCTGCAAACTTCACTCTAGCATTAGCAGCACAAAGTGAATTGAAGCCGAATGGCAATTCCCTCAAATCCCTTCTGCATCGGGGGCGGGGGGGGGGATGTCCACCCAATGTTAAGTTGGCAGAGTCAGCAAGCATAGCCACCAGCTTCCCCACCCCCGGGCATAACTGGGAGGGAGCATGTTGCGGGCAGGAGGAGGTCTTGTGGAGCTGAGCTGCACTATACCTGATCTCCAGGTCCCCTATACTCTAACTTCCCCTGGAGCTGAGTGGCTGAGGGTCCGAGGATCATAGCTGTCTCATTGGCACAGTCACTGCACGCTATGTCTGAACACAGCTTGGACGTAGTGGAGAACTGGGGGCCTGAGCAGGTTTCTGCAGGATTAGTGTCTAGGATTAGGACACTGAACACCATGTGGTACCATTAGGGTGAGGCACATGGGGAAAAAAGCTTTATTAGCCCATGATCTTTTCAGCACAGGATGTAAATTCACACAAGAAAAACATGTTAACTCTCGTGGTGTATAAACTTCCTCAAAACGGGACAATATTTCATAATGATTTCACTTAGGGACAGAGGAATCTACTGGGTCTTTGAATCCATGCCCCTGCTATCTCAGGCAGCCCTGTCATATAATTTCATTCATAAATTTATCAAGCGGCATCTTAAAACTAGAGTCATAGCGTTTAAGGCCAGAAGGGACCCCCAGATCATCTACTCTGACCTCCTGTATATCACAGGCCAACAACATCACCCAGCAATTCGGTGATGATGAAGAAACCTGTCATCTATCACACCCAGGGCCCTACCACTATTAAGAGCATTTCTTCTCCAATATATCCAGGAAGTTAAAGTCTCCCACTATGACACAATTCTCCAAAGTATTTATCTCCCTCATCATATTAGAGAGATCTCTGTCCATATCCAAGTCAGACCCCAGGGGCAGGAGGTCTATAGGAGACCTCACACCACCCTAATATAAATTCTTTTACAATCCTTCCCCAAAGTGAAGAACAACTAGTTAGGTTGTTTGCCCCCACTACTGCTATCAGAAGTCTGTGCTAATTGCGGTACTTCATACACGTTAGAAAGTTATATGGGGCCAGATTTCAAGAGTATTCAGCACCCAGCCACTCCCACGGTGACACTTATGGCCAGCTTCTCAAAAGAACTCCGCACATTGGGTGCTGAAATCTAACCACTTATTTTGGTGCCTAAATGGGAGCTGAGCGCTCTCGGAAATCAGGCCACAGTTGTGGGTGCTGAGCCCTGGTGAAAATTCTGGTTATATGAGAGAAAGTCACGCATGAGAAACCCAGTGCCTTCGAAATATGAATGTTTTCAGTAGATGGACCATGATGTGTTTTGTGGAACAAGCCACTAAGTGGTGCTATTGACAGTCTACAACAAAAACGCAGGCAGGGTTCTCACAGGTAATCGCCCAAGACTGAGAATCAGAAAAGAAAAGGAAACAATTTGGAAAGGAAGGAAACACTTATGGGCATTTCCACTGAATGGCAACATGCAATAACACAACTATTAGCAGTCACACAAAACTACCATCTTAATCTCTAGTAGTGCACGCACCCTATAGGATTGTAATCATGGGTGCAATTTGAATGCAATGAAACTCTCCCTGTCCTGTTGGAATTCTTCACTCCTCTTCATTACGTTTGTATCTATGGTAAAACTGACTATTCCAATTTTGCCAGACATAATGGTGGGCAGGGGGGTGCGCACAGCACACAACCATTTATATTGTGCCCTCAAGCTGCTTTGGCTGCCACAAGGAATCTGACTCTTGCCTGTTACTTGAACAATTTATGGGACCTGGAAATCACTGTTTCCGATGAAAACCAAGGCAGGTGAAACTGATGGTGTGTCCAACTTTCAAATTTGAGTGCCTACCCGTAAGTGTCTAAATCCACATTTCAGTAGCCACATGGAAATCTTGAGCCAAATACTGCAGCCTCTAGTTGACCAGTACTTCCATTCATTTTCAGAGGAGATTTGCCTGGTTGAGGATTGGATCAGGACTAGCTGCAATTATCCTGAGGCACCTAGTCCCCCTTTCAGGTGTCGCAGTGACTAGTTTAGGTTCACACATGCATTTTACTGTGAAAGAAATCCAGGATCTCTGTGTCAGCCCGTAGTGTGACCTTCAATGTGCGTAATCACTACATATTAAGGGTTAAATCCTGTCCTTTGTACTGTGAGGGCGTGGGAGGTAGGGATGGCTGATCAGGGTTCAGGAGGAAGCTTTTAAAAATCCTTTAATATATGAGGGAGGAAGAAACCTCACCACTCCTGAGGGAATGAAAGCTTTGATTGAGAGTTCACTGGTCTGGTCCTTTGTGTCTGTGCAGCATCACTGCACATTCCTGCTCTCTGTTCGCTCCCAGTGTGGCTCAGGGTTTAAATGGGTAGCACTTTAGATTTTTTTTCTTGAAAATTATTCAGCTGTTACCATCGGACCCACCCACCCTCCCATGTGCAAAAATCCCAGCATGTCAGAAGACATAGGGGTGTTTTTTTAAGATGAAAATAATGGAATTCATACTCCTCCTCCCAGATCTTGGCAGGGTCCTCTCTTTGTTTCTGTCCTCCTACCTTACAGCTGCAGGGGTTGGTTGCCTCCAGTCCAGAACTCCCGTGGAGCATGAGTGGAGCCAAAAAAATCTCCTGCTGCTCTTAGAGTCCCCTCGCAGTCTCAAGTGGAAGATAAAGCTGGTCCAGAGAGAGCCTTGAAGCCCACAGCAACTGAAAAGGAAGACACGTGCGTTCTAGTGTAACTGCTGCCAGCATCACTGTGTATGTTTCAGTTCTCTCTGCTTTGACTCGTTACCTATTTTTATCAAAATCTGCATCGGCATCAGTCTAGAATCAAGTCCATATCTTCTGTCGTTTGACCGAACGCCTGGAAACATTAAATCAGCCAACCACATAACTAGTTTGACAGAAGGGGCCAAATTCATCCTTGCTGCAATGCCTCTGATTTCAACAGTGTTATACCACAGATGAATCTGGTCTAGCAAGTGCAATATTTACAAGCTTCCACCATGCATCTTACTTATCCTTCATTGAACAGCAGCATGAACGTGTGGTTGCCACATGCAAATCAGGACCTAAGTTAATCATGAGCAGAGAGGAGAGAAGCATTTCTCCAGAGGGAGTGTGAGTGTGTGTGTGTGTGTGTGTACTGGGGGATGTAGGCAGGTAGGGTGTGTTTTCCTTTGAAGCATTCAGCATTGGTCACCCTGGGAGTCAGGATACTGGACGAAATGGACAGCTGTTCTGTTTTGAGATGGGAAATCCTCTTTGCTTCTTTATTCAGCAAAGTTTTGAAACTAAAAGGATTCCAATCACACTGTTTGTCTGGTATGAAAGTCAAGTCCCATAAATATTGCCCCCGTCAGTGGTTTTCCTTTAAAATACTCTCCGTGAATCATTTCAGTCTAATCTAGTAAATAATTAGATACAACACAACTGTACATCTTTATTCCCCATCCAGAGTGATAGATCTTATTTTATTTTTCAATATGCTGGAGGAAGGGGCATTTTCAAGCACATACATAATGAAACATCCAATAACACCGTTAGCATTGGTCATTTCGATGTGCCAGTGTCCCCCACCCCTTCCTCTTTCACTGCCAACTCCACACATCTAGTATTCCGGCAACATACCCTGCGTGAATTCACAATCCAAGTTAGCTCACAAGCTCCTGCAATCAAGGAAGGGACATTTGGAGAAGGGAGAGATGTCCCATTGCAAATTTATTTAAAAGCTGTAAATCAGTCCATCCTTATGAGTCAGAAATCTGCCAGGTATGTGTTTATGGCTTATAGGCTACTACTTTAATGGAAAATGATACTAGCCTTGTTCTCTTTGGGCCAACTCCCTGAACAGCTTTGCCTCTGCATCTTGTAGACTCCTTAGAGGGCACTCCTGGGGAAATCAGTCTGCAGGAGGGTTAATCAGAAAAGTTCCTGATGGGTTCTGATATTTTTTGTTATTGCTTCACATTAGATCAACATAAAAGGGAATTGGGAGGATTCTTTTGACAATCTGTGGGCTCTTCTCTCAGGCTCAGTGGGACCTCTGCTTAACGCCCAGGTAGATTGATTAGACAAGGTCTTTGGGGTGACATTTTCTTGAATGATTTAAGTAAATGCCTTGCTGTAACATTTGAGGTTGGTCATCTCTTGGTTTCATGATTCTTTTTCTTTTAAGCCCCAGACACACAGACACAAAATATACTAAAACGAGGCGAGCTTAGCGGAAAGGTCGTCTAGTTCAGAAACAAACAGTGGGGATTTAGGGTCGAGGTTTAGGTGTGCAAGGAGAGAACATTTCATTTCAAATC